ACTTGAGTGTCATAAGCGGTACTCGGATCCACGAGGGACTGCTTGATTATGGACACTACATAGTATGCCATCATTGCGACTGCTTGCGTACGCCTGCATTGCAAGTCGATATGAGTAGGCCCTACGTCTGTGCGGTTTTATACTAAGTCTTGAGCGCGACGCTGACCCTATTTCCGCGTCGGAAAGTTATGGGTTGGATACCGAGGGGCTAGGAGCATTGTCGCCGTATTTGTGTTGTGTCGTTTCGTACGTGTGTGTATGCGCGTGTTTTATTTTTGGTGTTTGTTAGAGTGTTGTGCGCGTGGTGTGTGGGATGCGTCCTAGTCGACCGACGACGGGCCGCGCCTGGGACTTCAGCCCCCCAAGATGTCGGTTCACGTACGGGTCCGACAGAGGCGTATTACCGCGCGTACCCCCTATGCTACAGCGAACGAGAAACGCCCTCGGCTGGTCCACCTCTGCGATTGCAACTAATTAGCTTTCGTACTGTGGACTGGTAGCTCGGCGGGGATACGCCCACCGAAGGGAGGTGACAACTCCCGTAAGGTGTAGATAAGTCGTGCCTCGCATAGGCCCTATCCTGTCGTAGGGGCTCGCGAGAGGTATGGCTGGCGCACTCGGCCGGAGCGGCTTAAGGAAGTTCCACATGTATTATAAGCGACGAAGGATTTAAACCAACTCCTGCGTGACGCGGCCGGGAGGGTCCCGCGCTGCCCTAGTGCGGTGTCGGACCGATGCGCTCGACAACGTACTATGCACGCTATCTACAACTATGGCGGTTATCGCTGCAACTACCATATTGCTATGGCTAAGCTTCTTCTCTCTCGCCCACTTTGCCCTCGGGCTCACTGCAGACCACCTCGCACAAGTCGTTGTGGCAACGCTTCCGCATGGCTCACGCAGGAATGAATGAATGGCTGGGCGCTGCCCTTTGATTTATACTTTTGTAGCTCGTTGGTCTGGTCCTTTCCCATGCCCGTAGTGCACACAGTCTGATGCGGTACTTGCTTGACTGGACTAGGACCGACTGGGACTGGGACTGCTGACTCAGCACGGGTAGACTCCACGACTTGCCCACTTGCCTCAGCCTAAACATGGGCAACTTCGAAAGGCCACTACTCGGACCTTCCGGAAGGCCGTAAACTTGGCCTTTCGATACTGTAGCAGCTACGACCATGACCTTTCGGGAGAACTACAACTACGACTTCTAGACCCTGCTAGGACTACTACCCGACAGGTCTACGGATCGAACCCCTACTGCCTACGGACCCTATGACAGTCTACCAAATGTTACAATACACAGGTCACGGGTTCAACTTTAGGGGTCGACACAGATACTATACACAGGTAAGGTGAGGACTAGGGATCGAGCCCTGGGATCTGCATCAGCTACTGCGAACTGGTGAATACCGTTTCACTCCCGCCGGCCTAAATTCGAGGTCCTTTGAGAATAACTCAGTCCAAGGTAGGACCTTTTCCTTTCTTATTCTCTCATGGGGTCTAACTATGTCGGGAGTTGTTTCTAGAAGTTCTGCTCTAGTGAACCAGCGGTCGTCCTCCCCTGATAAGCAAACCGGACCTTATACTGTTTCTGCGGAGGACCTTTACCTCTTGTTCTGAACACGTATTCACCACTAATCTATGTTGCACGCCCGGCCGCGGCCGGGGGAGGGAAACCGGCCGCGGCCTCAGCCGACCAGCCTAGTTTGGTGCAGGATTATTTTTTTCTTTCTAACGCATGAAAAAATATATATATATATGGCC